TTAACATGCCAAAGACAAACAAGAAATAGGGCAAGTAAAGAAATAAAGACTGAAGCAAGCATGGAGGAAAACTTACTGGAAGAGAGATCAAGAAACTGAGAGGCTGAAGTATTGTTAGGCTCATCTGTTGATATTGCAATCATCTAAAATTATGGCAAGTGTAGTGTCAGAGATAACAGTGAGCCAAGTGTAAGAAATAAAGACTGGTACCCAGGAGTAGAAACAGCAGCAAGGAGGTGTGACAGCATAGTCTGCTGCCATGAACTTCAAAGGGGTTTTTAGGAAGGAGGCTGGGAAAAACACTCTGGGAGCAGCAATGAAGAGCAAGGGAGATATCTATTCCAACTCCAGGTCTAGAAAAGTAAGAGTGTGAGACAGAAAACAATCATTACTTGCATAGGTTGCAGGGGAAGCAAGGTCCTTCCAGATTTCACTTAGAAGAAGATGCTAAAGGATTTGAGAAATCAACATACTCTGATGCTATCAGGATAATATAAAATCATGTGTTACCTCATTAAAAAAAGAAACCTACTAAGGATAACAGAAGCTATCAGGTAGGTACATATAGAAAATAGTCCATATAGAACAGGGAAAAATAATACAGTCAGGTGCCACAAAATGACATTTTGGTCAATGATGTACAGAATATATCATGATGGTCCCTTAAGATTAAAATGAACCGAAAAATTCCTATCACCTAGTGACATCATAGCTGTGGTAACACAGGGCAACACATTACTCGTGTTCATGGGGAAGTTGGCGTAAACAAACCTACTGCACTGATAATCATATAATGGAATAGCACATACAATTATACACGGTACATAATATTTGATAATGAAAATAAATTACTGTTACTGGTTTATGTACTTACTATACTACACTTTTTATTGTTATGTTAGAGTGTACCTCTACCTATTTAAAGAAAGTTCACTAAAACAGCCTCAGGCAGTTTCTTCAGGAGGTGTCCCAGAAGACACTGTTATCATAGATGACAGCTCCATGCATGTTATTCCCCTTGAAGACCTTCCAATGGGATGAGATGTGGAGGTGGAAGATGGTACTATTGGTGATCCTGACTTTGTGTAGGCCTAGGCTAATGTGTGTGTTTATGTCTTAGTTTTTAACACAAAAGTTTAATAAGTAAAAAAATAAATAAAATTTAAAAATAAGAAAAAGCTTATAGAATAAGGATATAAAAAAGAAAATATTTTTGCACAGCTGTATAATGGGCTTGTGTTTCAAGCTAAGTGTTACCAAAAAGAGTCAAAAAGTTAAAAAAAAATCAAGAGATTATAATGTTAAAAAGCTACAGTAAGGTAAGATTAATTTATTATTGAAGAAAACTTTTAAAAAATAAATTTAGTGCAGCCTAAATGTGCAGACTTTATCAATTCTATAGTAGTGTACGATAATGTCCTAGGCCTTCACTTTTACTCACAACTCAGTCACTGACTCACCCAGACCAACTATCAGTCCTGCAAGCTGCATTCACAGTAAGTACCCTAGACGGGTGTGCCATTTTTATCTTTTACATTATGTTTGCTATATCTTTTCTATGTTTAGATAAAAAATATTTACCATTGTATTAAAATTGCCTACAATATTCAGTTCAGTAACATCCTGTACAGGTTTGTTGCTTAGGAGCAACAGGCCATTTCATATGGTCTAGGTATATAGGAGGTTATACCACCGAGGTTTGTGTAAGCACATTCTATGATGCTTGTCTGACAATGAAATTGCCTAATAATACATTTCTTACAACATGTCTCCATTATTAAGTAACGTAGTAATAATATTATAGGTCTCTTCCACCTCCTGCATGAATCATTCGTTACTGAATATCAGATATTCTACATGAGATACTAACAAAAAACCTATTTATCAATTTTAAATGAAAAAAATTACAATTCATTTTATGTCAACCCCCAATAACTAACCAAGTTCCTAAAGTGTAACTAAAACACAGTAAAGCAACTATACAAAGGTAACAAACTCCCATATTAGGATATAAAATGCTGAAGACATCATTTCCTGAGCAAAAACAATTTGTAAGTTTAACAGTGGCTATAAGTAGTAACACCCTACACATTCTCTTTGTTGATATTTTGTGCACCTTTCAAATTGTTGACATGTGATTCTGACAGTCTACCAACTATATGTGAAATTTAACACAGACTTCCCACACATTATCTTGTTTAAAATGCAGTATTTGGCCTTATTGCATTTCTGTGAATATGTATAAATGTAAATATGTATCTTATAATCATCAGCCAAAACACACTGAATTGAGAGATAATTAATTCTAGGACATTTGGATGTTAAATACCAAGAGGTTTTCCACTAGGAAAAACATTAATTGCAAAGTCATTCTGTGGACTCTGCTTACGCATTACATTTGTTCAAATGGGTTAAATTGCAGCTTTAGTGTATAAACTTAACTATACCCTTAACATCAGAATTCTCAGTCAAAATGGGAAAATAATAATGTTCTCCTCAAGGGAGTTTTTGTAAAAATTAAATTAGATAATGCACATCAAGTAGTTAGTACAATGCCCTAGCATATAGCATATGTGCAATAAATGGTTCCCATTAATTATTTGTATTATCTGTCTAGCAATTGCAACTTATAAGATTTACACATGCATTATCTTGCTTGATTCTTAAGACAAAACAACTTTATGCAGGAGAGAGACAGGACATGGATTATTATCTCCACTTCACAAATAAAAAGACACACACTTAAAAGAATTCGGCCAGGCATGGTGGCTATTCCCTGTAATCCCAGCACTTTGGGAGGCCAAGGCAGGAGGATTGCTTGAGGCCAGGAGTTCAAGACCAGCCTGGGCACACAGTCAGACCCTGTCTCAAAATAAAATAAAATAAAATAATAAATAGAATAAAATAAAGGTCAAAGTAAACTGCCTGAAGTTACATGATTACCTAGAAATACCCGTCATGATTGGATATAAACCACCATATAAACCAGGGGTTTGTAAACTTTTTCCAAAAAAGCCAAATAGTGGTTTGCAGCCCGTATAGTCTCTATCACAGATAGTCAATGCTGCCACTATAGCACAAAAGCAGCCATAGATAATACGTAAATAAAAGGGTGGAACTATGTTCCAATAAAACCTTATTTACAAAAATAGGCAGTGGGTTGAATTAGGTTCATAGACCAGAGTTTGCAGACCCCTGCCCTAGACCTTTAGATTACTAGTCTAGTGTACTTTTCCATTACTTTATGGTTACCACCTATTTTCAGGATAGTATTTTAGCATTAAACTTAATAGTATTAACTGTCAGAGAAAAGATAAATCAGGAATAATTTGTAGAAGAACCATGAATACAGTAAGATATTATACAAATATTAGTATTCTGCTTTTTCCACTTTTACAGCTTCTATTATAAAACTCTCTCTTAATCCTTCCTTTCTTCCTTTCTCTTCTAATAAAAGATTGGGCCTAGAAGTAAACACTCTTCTATCTCTCCAAAAAGTACTCAAAACAAATCTGTAGAATATTATTCTAAAGAAAGTAGTGGACATTCCATAAGACACCAGAATGAGCAAACTTAACAATATCCTTTAAAAATGGTAAGCAATGTGAAACTTCTGAACCTAACTTGTACGAGCATGTTTTACAGGGGATGGAGGGAACAACATTAAGCAACTAGTTTATTCTCAATCTGAAAGAACAGAGTGATTATCAGTTTTCTCATTACAGAATCCATATAATATGCTATGGTGGTAAAGACACTAGACTTGGAATTGAAAGACCTAATTTGGAATTCTTCCTCTGGTACTTACTTTGTGGCCTAGTAACCTACATATGAGGAGTTGCTATGAGGATTAAGACAAATTATTTTAAAATTCCCAGCATCATAAGCATTGATTATTGCTGCATTTGAAAATATAAACTTCTTAATGAAGTTCTCTTCTATATTTTTAATAAACTACAATATGATACAATATTCTATAACAGTACAATATCATTTATAAAACATCTAAAATATCTATTGCTAAAGTATAAAGCACTTTTTTGTCAAGGAGCTAAAAGCTCTTAAAACATATTCTCTCATTTAAAACCATAATATTCCTTTGAAATTAAAACAAACCAGAATTTATTGAGTGATATGTGCTAGGTATTTTATACATATCAACTCATTTAACCTTCACAACAACCTTGAGAAGAAACAGGCTTAGTTAAATGAAATGACTTGTCCAAGGAACACAGCTTCTAAGTGGCAGCAGATCTCGGGATACCCAGGTTACACTGAGTATAACCTGTCACATTATTTATTTTCATTATTTAACACTGTCTCTTCAGTTTTTTGACTTGGGGTCCACAAAAATCAAAGTGCCTCATATATGGTCAAAGAATAATTACTTTCAGTGTGGTACAAGGCAAACTAGATTAAATTACCTCCAAATAACATACTAATTTAAAGACAATCCCTGATTAATCTACTTTTGGTCTCAAAAATATATTGGTAAATAGAGCAAAACCAGCCTACTTACCACTAGTTAAATAAATTAGGGTATTCCCAAGTTCAGCTTTAGATGTCCAAAGAAACAAATGTAGAATTTTGATTAGACAGAAAAATAAACCAAAGAACAAATTTCCTCAAACTCTAATGGTATATTAATAAACGTAAGAACATTTCTAAACCTCCTAGCAGGTTTCATGCCTGAAAGCCCTTCCAGAAAGCAGATTTCCTCCTCAATGATTTTTTCTCATGAGATTTATAGAAATTATCCCAAAAAGAAATTGGTGATTCTAGTGCTTTTGAAGAACTAAAACTCAGTAGATTAGAAGTTTTTAAATCCTGACTTTAAATATAACACATAAAGTAAGGGAATAAAAGTATACAAAATACTTTGTAAATCTACGACCTTCCTTCCACTTTGTTTAAACCAGTATGGTCCTTGAGAGTAGGAGCCTTTTTTTTTTTCCCTTGCTAAAATAAAATAAACTTCAATTCCACCCTGTGTTGCTTACCTGTTGCACAGTATGCTGAGAGTTCCATGTGGACTACAGTCACATGGCTGACAGAGTCCAGAAGTGTAATTTGGGTAAAAGCCCTCTTTGCAGGTTTCACAGTGAAGCCCCTGATAACCTGGCTGACACTCACACTGTCCTGTGGTCTGGTTGCAGCGATTCACATCCAGGCTTCCAATCACAGAGCAGTTACATACATATTCTGCAAAGGAAAGAAGGAAAGAGACATTACCAACTAAGATTTAATGCCCTCTTAATAAAATGAACTCTATTTTATTTTTCTTAATGAGTTTTCGTGACAACTTTGTAAGGATAGATAAAATTAACTCTAGTTCAAATTTACTTTCTATCCTGTTTAGCTTATTTAAATCAAGAAACGTATGGAGAATATAAATTATGTAGAGAGAGAGTGTGTGTGTATGTATGTATTATTAGTTTTTCTGAATTACACGCCACCAAAGGTAGGTTTATCTACATAACACTAAGGAAACATGTTGGAAATGACAACATGTTAAATAATAAATAATCCCATTGCAGAGCAGCAAAAGCCTAAGGCTCAGATGATTAACTTTGGTAACCTATTTAAGGTCACACGAGATTATGCTATAGCTAGAATCATAAGCTAATATGCTCTGCCCAGGAAGAAATTAATGAAGAGGTCTTTTCCTCTCAGAAACCCCGTCCTCTACGAAAGATGCTGTTTCTCTTTCTCTTCTACCTATTAAACCTCCACTCCTAAACTTAAAAAAAAAAAAAAGAAAGAAATTAATGGAGAATTGAAACTTTAAGGAAATTATGAACAATAAATCCAGAGGAGAAAGTTTACAGGTTCATCCTGATTTGTGAGTTAAAACCAATCACAATTTGAATGTCTTTCCCAAATTAAAATATTTGGAAAATAAACATTTCTTTTAAATATATTTCAAACAGTTCTCTGTTGTTTGCTTCATTTTTTTCACTTTTCAAAAGCAATGTTTTGATTTTTAGTTTTTGTGAGTACATAGCAGGTGTATAAGGTGTGTATATTTATGGGGTACCTGAGATATTCTGACACTGGTATGCAACGTGTAATAATTACATCGGGGTAAATGGGATATCCATCACCTCAAGCATTTATCCTTTGTGTTACAAACAATCCAGTTATACTCTTTTAGTTATTTTAACATGTACAATTAAATTATCATTAATTATTAAATTATTCACCATAGTCACTCTGTTGTGCTACCAAATACTAGGTCTTATTCATTCTTTCTATTTTTTTTTTGTACCCATTAACTATCCCCACTTCCTCCCCACCACACACCTGCCTACTACTCTTCGCAGTCAGACAGTTCTTTGGATAAAAAATATTTAGAAGCCCTTAGTTTCAGCCTTCTAATGCAAAGATTCATTTAAAGGTCAGTTAGGATTTGTTTTTTTGCTACTGCTTCTATTCATTTTATCAAAAGGAAAGTGTTATCAACATAGTTTGATACAGTATTCACAGATGACTTTGCATTAACATATTTATTCTAGCAATAGGTACCAATCCAAAAGAGCTATGATCCTACCCTTAAAGGGTCCTGAGAAATTTATGGTACAAATTATAGTTCTAAATAGGTAAGGTACTATATAAAATGGCACTGTACCAATAAAGTTTAGCTTGGAAAAAAAAGTCTTTAATATTATTTCTGATTATTTCAAAAAGCTATGAGACAACTGCAAATCCAGAGTCTTACATAGAAAGCTATAAAGGGGTTTGTGTCTCTATTCTAGAAAAGGAAATTAAGCTTCAAAATTCTTTATATAATTACAAGAAGCTTATTTATTCACACAAGTCAAAATAAAAGATTGCTCAAAGAAATTCCCACTTGGCCAACTCTATACCTCCCACACTTCTGCAGTTCCTAACCTTTGGTGTCACCATTTCTCTGCTCTTCAGAGCTCTTCTAGTTCGTAAAGATAACAAATAACAAATAAATAGGCCAGGTGTAGTGGCTCATGCCTGTAATCCTAGCACTTTGGGAGGCCAAGATTGCTTGAGCTTAGGAGTTTGAGATCAGCCTGGGAAACATGGTTGCCCACCTCTACAAAAAAAATACAAAAATTAGCTGGGTGGCCTGGCATGCACCTGTAGTCCTGGCTACTCCGGAGGCTGAGGTGGGAGGATCACTTGAGCCTGGGAGGCTGAGGTTACAGTGAGCGAAGATCTTGCCACTGCACCCCAGCCTGGGTGACACAGTGAGACCTGTCTCAAAAAATAAATAAATAAATAAATAAGTAAAGTAAAATAAATAAATAAATATTGACAGCTTATTTATTTTATGTCTGTTTCAAACTTGGGTGGTAAATTAGTTACAAAACCCAAAGGAAAGTTCACATTTCTTCAGCCTCAAGCTTAGGAAAGGAACCAGCTTCCCATTACAATCAAGATTCTTATTTTCACTAGGCTATATAAGCATGACATTTCTTTGACGGAGTTACATGTTTTCACATATCTACTTTTTGTACATGTGTGTTGTGGTTTTTGTAAATAACAAAGCCACGTTCAGTGGTCTGTAAACCTGCCAATGACAACTTCATGACAAGACCTTCACTCCACCAGAAATGACCAGAACACTTAAAATAACATTTTTCTTCTGAAATCTGGCAGAAATTCAACTTATATCCAACTCCTCCTGCTGGATCTATTTTATCACAAGTTAAACTAATCAAATTATGTTGGTGTCAGCAGAACTAGCTCAAGAAAAAATGAAAATACTAAAAAAAAAAAATTTCTATAATAAATACTATGAATTTTATTATTTCCTTACTAAGAAATTTCCATCTGAAAACTGAGTCGGTGTTCCCAAGGAGTAAGATTAGCAATATTTTCTAAAGAATTCAATTGAATCTAAGAACTCAGATATAAACACTTAATATTTTTCCCAGTTAAGTTCTAATGGATAAACTTTCAATACTAACCAAGTTCGCTAGTTATTATTTCTATAGTCAGTCTAATATCTTTGTTATTCCCTGAACATACTCTGGTTAGTCTTGTCTCTGAACCTTTGCTTATTCTGTGTATCTTGGAATGCTCTTTTTCATATATTTAAACCTATTCTCTATTTTAAGAATCAACTGAAACTCACTTCTCCATTAACTCTAACTGTACTGCCCCTATTATGAATCAGTAAGAATAGCTACTACCTAAACCTCTCAAATGACAACAGTTTGAAGAGGCAGTAAGGCGAAGCAGTTAGAGCACAGATTGTAGAGGTAGATGGCTAAGATTTAAATCCTGCTCTCTCGCTAACTTTATCACCTTAGGCAAGTTAATTAACCTCTGTGTGCCTTCATTTTTTCTTCTGTAAACAGGGCATAATAATAGGACCTCTAACACTCAGCCCCAATACTTAAGCTGGAAGTGGTTTGGAATACTGCGATAATTAATACAACAGCTGGAAAAAAGTAGAAAGTGATATCAGATGAAATAATAAATGCAACTCAGATGTTAGATTAACAGGCCACAGCTTCATTATACCCTGAGGGTAAAATCTAAAAGGCTGATAATGGGTTTAGTACCATAGCAGCTTTTAATAATGTCTGGAAAACAGAATTAGTGTCCTGTTATGCAGAAATCCATGTTGTGGCTCATCCAAGTAGACAATAAGAGGATATTCTATTCATAGTAGGCTCCACTCATTAACAATATATGTGCCTAAAAATACAGTGGTAAAAACAGAAGGATTTAGGATGTATGTTCAGAGAAGATGAAAAATGAACATTTCTTTATTATTCATCCTTGGTACTGGGCCAGGCACGGTGCCTTACCTCTGTAATCTCAGTCAGCACTTTGGGAGGATGAGGCGGGCGGATCAAGGGATTGAGATCATTCTGGCCAATATAGTGAAACCCCATCTCTACCAAAAATACAAAAATTAGCTGGGTGTAGTGGCATGCACCTGTAGTCCCAGCTGCTCGGGAGGCTGAGGCAGGAGAATTGCTTGAACCCAAGAGGCGGAGGTTGCAGTGAGCCGAGATTGCGCCACTGTACTCCGGCCTGGCAACAGAGAGAGACTCTGTCTCAAAAAA